GACACGAGTCCATCCCCAGCCAGGAAGTGACCCACATGGTGCAGCAGACCTCTTCTGCCTGCCCACTGCTCCCCTCAGCAGTGGATTTCAGCACATCTGCCTGTTCTGCTCCCCACTCTGTCTCTGGTGAATCCTCTCACCCACCACACTCTGGCCTGCACCCCAGTTCTGTAAGCATACATAAATAAATCTTTAAAGAAAAAAAAAAAAAGAATTTGGGGGCGGGGGACCAGAAAGAAGAACGACAGCATGATCACTCCTCAAAAGCAGCAGGCTCTCCTGCAGGGGCCATTCGTCTCCACGAACAGCAGGGGGCAGCCTTTCCTTATTTTTCAGCTCCGCGTCTCTGCGATCTCAGAGTGGCCGCTTGAGGGCGCAAGAGGATCGTGCATGGTGCACTGTGGCTCAGAAGGGGAATCAGGCCCGCGTCCCTTTTCTCCAGGTGAGCTTGGGGTGGGGCTGGGGCAAGATGTGAAAATCACCAAAGAGCTCATGATGACTGTACCATCCCTGAGCCGTTCAAGCACGAGGATAGAAGTGTTCATTTAGCACCCATGTCTGGAGCCTGAGCTGAGCAGGCTGATGGGAAGAAGCCCCCAGAGGGAGGGCTGGGGTCAGGGGACAGGAAGAGGTCAGGGAGGCAGGCCCAGGAGATGAGGCCCTGGAGCAGAGAGGTCCCACCTGCATCCTCTGTGTGCCCGGATGCCCCCAGAGCAGACCTGGCACAGCACTGCATTTCTGCATTTATCTGACGCCATTTCAACTACAGCACAGCCCATCTGCCCTCGGCTTCCTATTCGGTGGGTCCCACCCGCCCTCAGGCTGGGACTCCAAGCTGGGGGCTCCCTTGGGAGCTGGGGTTCCCTGCTCATCCCCAGGTGCAGCCTGTCAGACCCAGGAGGACCCACCCGCCCAGAGCCAGGGCCCGAAGGAACAGGCAGAGACCAGGAGTGAGGTGGGCACTTTATTTCCAGGGCAGGGACAGGGCGGGCTCAGTAGGCAGCCATGGTCTGCTGGATCCAGTCCACGTAGTTGCAGACCCTGGTGTAGACGCCGGGCTTGCCCTTCTGGGCGCAGCCGTAGCCCCAGGAGACGACGCCCTGGAGTTCTCCGTTGCAGACCACGGGGCCGCCAGAGTCACCCTGGGACCGGAGGCGGGCGGTTATGGGGACAAGCCGCGGGGCTCAGCCCCCGGTCAGCCTGGAGACCCCGCAGCTGCGCTCGGCTCCACCCACCCGCCGCTGGGCCGCTGGGCCTGCGCCCACATGGACCCGCCTCCGCGCTGGCCGGCGGCCGGGGCACTGCCCACAGGTGTGCACGGGCGCCCGGCCTCACCTGGCAGGAGTCCTTGCCGCCCTCCATGAAGCCAGCGCAGACCATGTTTGCGGTGATCTGGCCGGGGTAGGCGGCCTCGCACTGGGCCTGGCTCAGCAGGGGGGCGTTCAGGCACTGCAGCAGCTCAGGGTAGTTGACTTGGGGGCAGGAGACAGAGGTCAGGGGGTGTGGCGGCTGGGGCGGGGATGGGGGCCCAGGGCTGAACCCCAGGGCAGCCTCTGGATGCCAGCCCCAGCGAGGTC